TGACAGTGCCATCTTCCAGCTGACTGCACTGACACAGATGACAGTGCCATCTTCCAGCACTGACACAGATGACAGTGCCATCCTCCAGCACTGACACAGATGACAGTGCCATCCTCCAGCACTGACACAGATGACAGTGCCATCCTCCAGCACTGACACAGATGACAGTGCCATCTTCCAGCACTGACACAGATGACAGTGCCATCTTACAGTAGTGACAGCAGATGACAGTGCCATCTTGTACTGACAACAGAAGATAACAATATCATATTTTAGCAGTGACAACAGAAGAGGACAGTGCCATCTTCCTGTACTGACAACAGATAACAGTGCCATCTTCCTGTACTGACAACAGATAATAATGCCATCTTCCTGTAGTGACAACAGAAGATTACAGTGCCATCTTCTTGTACTGACAACATATAACAATGCCATCTTCCTGTACTGACAACAGATAACAGTGCCATCTTCCTGTACTGACAACAGATAATAATGCCATCTTCCTGTAGTGACAACAGAAGATTACAGTGCCATCTTCCTGTACTGACAACAGATATCAGTGCCATCTTCCTGTAGTGACAACAGATAATAATGCCATCTTCCTGTAGTGACAACAGAAGATTACAGTGCTATCTTCTTGTACTGACAACAGATAATAATGCCATCTTCCTGTAGTGACAACAGAAGATGACAGTGCCATCTTCCTGTACTGACAACAGATAACATTGCCATCTTCCTGTAGTGACAACAGAAGATGACAGTGCCATCTTCTTGTACTGACAACAGATAATAATGCCATCTTCCTGTAGTGACAACAGAAGATGACAGTGCCATCTTCCTGTACTGACAACAGATAACAGTGCCATCTTCCTGTAGTGACAACAGAAGATGACAGTGTCATCTTCCTGTACTGACAACAGATAATAATGCCATCTTCCTGTACTGACAACAGAAGATGACAGTGCCATCTTCCTTTACTGACAACAGATAATAATGCCATCTTCCTGTACTGACAACAGAAGATGACAGTGCCATCTTCCTGTACCGACAACAGATAACAGTGCCACCTTCCTGTACTGACAACAGAAGATGACAGTGCCATCTTCCTGTACAAACAACAGATGACAGTGCCATCTTCCTGTACTGACAACAGATAACAGTGCCACCTTCCTTTACTGACAACAGAAGATGACAGTGCCATCTTCCTGTACTGACAACAGAAGATGACAGTGCCATCTTCCTGTACCGACAACAGATAACAGTGCCACCTTCCTGTACTGACAACAGATAACAGTGCCACCTTCCTTACACAACAGATGACAGTGCCATCTTCCTGTACTGACAACAGATAACAGTGCCACCTTCCTGTACTGACAACAGAAGATGACAGTGCCATCTTCCTGTACCGACAACAGATAACAGTGCCATCTTCCTATACCGACAACAGAAGATGACAGTGCCATCTTCCTGTACCGACAACAGATGACAGTGCCATCTTCCTGTACCGACAACAGATGACAGTGCCATCTTCCTGTACCGACAACAGAAGATGACAGTGCCATCTTCCTGTACTGACAACAGAAGATGACAGTGCCATCTTCCTGTACCGACAACAGAAGATGACAGTGCCATCTTCCTGTAATACTGAAGATGACAGTGCCATCTTCCTGTACCGACAACAGATGACAGTGCCATCTTCCTGTACTGACAACAGATAACAGTGCCACCTTCCTGTACTGACAACAGAAGATGACAGTGCCATCTTCCTGTACCGACAACAGAAGATGACAGTGCCACCTTCCTGTACTGACAACAGAAGATGACAGTGCCATCTTCCTGTACCGACAACAGATAACAATGCCATCTTCCTGTACTGACAGACAGATGACGGCGAACACTAATATTTTGTTATTAAGATACGAATCTGCCTTTAACTATTAGTGATTATCTATAAACTTCATTTGTTTTTTGGTGCGTGAAAAAGAATTATATATATAAATATATATATATATATATATATATATATATATATATATATATATATATATATATATATATATATATATATATATATATATATATATATATTTGTGTGTGTGTATCTGAAAATATGTGTATGTGTGTGTGTGTGTGCATCTTCTGTGTGGGTGCATGCGCATGTCTGTGTGCGCGTGCATGCATGCTTATGGGCATAAGCGTGCGTGCGCAGACGTGTGTGCATGTGTACTGTGTGTGTGCACTATGTATACATGTGTGTATTAACACACCTTTATATGTTTATTAAGACGCCACAAAGTAAATATACACGACCTAGCCTAACGTCTTATCTGAGAGAAAAAATAAGAAGATAAAAACGACAGAAGGAATTCGAAACTTATTTTCTGGCGACTTCTTGACCACCACAAGTGTTTCTCCTAAGCTACTGTTATCACATCCTGCCGGCACACCTAAGGCATCTTCATACAACGACAGCTACGGACATATGAGAGTCACGAGTGCTGCAAAGTAGATAGAATTCTCATGAACCGCCCAAATAAGTATCCACGGCTCACAGACGTCTAATTTACACGTAATGGTTTGAAATAATACACTGTCTATTGAGAGTGACCGTCAAGAAGGCGCACTATCAATACTGAATAAAAGTGAGTCGTTTAACCATCGATTAAATAGATTAAGATTTGTCTAATTGTCAATTTGTTCTTTAAGTGCTCCTTTGGTGTGCTTTAAGTTTCATAAATTATTAATCACCCCAAAATTCTGACATAAGAAATTACTAGTAGTTCTTAGCTCTTGTAATTGATCTATCACAGAAATAAACAATCCCATTTTTTCTGCCACAATATAAATATAATGAAACCAAATAAGAAATAAAACAAATATAATGAACAGATAAATCCCTTAACCATTTCTTTAAGTGTTCTTCTGGTTCATATCTCCATCAATGTATTGCTGCATCAGATAAGTATTCCAACTGGTCCGGGAGGTTGAAATGGTGGTAAAAACTCCGCTGTTCGAGACTCCAGCAACAACTCCCCATAAGATTTCCTCTAATAAGATAAATCAGGGCTTAACTATCACCCGCCGGCAAAGTTTCACAGCCACGCGGACAAGTTTCAAATCTTTTGGCTAAATTTGGCTCTCAATGACCCTTCAAACTTTACCCGATTCCTTGATAATATAAAAGTTCTCTAATTATGAATTTCTTGCCAAACGACCGAAGAGAGTGAGGCTGTGAGGCTATAAGTTGTTGTGATTATTTTAAATGGTTTGATTGTTAAATTTCATTGTTAAAATCACCTTAGGTCCGTACACTTGTATTTTCATAACTATTCAATTCCTCTCTGTTTGTGTTCTTTTCAGGTTTCTTAGTTCTTTGTAAACAGTCTATTTAAACACTGATGAGACGATATCATGTTGTGTTAATAACCTAATAATAACACTACTCGAAGGGAAGATTGATGTGATAGACATATTGTCACTGTCATAGGTAAACAGAAAAAAAAGTGCCTTAATGGATATGGACCCCTGGGGAATCATGTTTCATAAGTGTAAACTATAATTCTCCCCAACACCACAGGAAAAAATCCCAGAGCAATGGGGACAGTGGCATTAAAATTCTCGAGTAATGGCGAGCTAAAAATTTCTTCAAACTAACCACCAGAGGACATGTGTCGTCCGCCCTCAGTTTTTTCTTCCGCCACAGCCGCTCATTGTTCATTAAAAGTTGTACAATATAATCTATTGGTTCATGAGTTTGTGGTGTGTCACAGTTGATGACCCAGGAAGGTGTGGCAAGAGTAGAAGTAAGGAACTGAAGGGATCTTAAGCACTATGCCAGCGCCCGCTCTGGTGCAATGTCTTCTGGGGACGTTATGGTGAAGGAGACCTCGCGCGTCTTAGTGTCGTGAGTCATTTTTTTTGCCTGGTAACTATTAAGGTCATCAGTGGTTATGGTCACCTGGTCCGATAATCACTCAGCAGCTGCAGGGTTCACTATTGGTGTGTCGTCGGAACATAATGACAGTAAGCTTCAGTAGCTGAATGGTTGTGGTCTTTGAGAATCTGATGGCCATTGTGGTCAACTGGTCGAGATGTTGAGAGGTGGAAAGATGAGTGATTGATACGACAGCAGGGTATTGAAGTGGTAGGGTGGTCGGTCGGTAGGGCTGATCTAGCAGAAGGTAGTCATTTGGTCGACTGGTCGTGTGTTACGATGGTGGAGCGGTAAGAAGGTGAAGAGGTAAGTGAAGTAGTAGTGAAGCGGTTGATAGCCTGCGGGGAGACGGTCGGCCGGTAGAGGTGAAGCCGTAAGGTAGTCCAGCCAGCCAAGATGACCACTGTGAGGCGGTGGACCAGTAGGCCTATGGTACAGTAGATGGCCTTGCAGCAGTCGAGTGATGGGAAGGTCGAACGGTGGGATAGTGAACTGTAAATTGTCAAGTAACAGAGCTCTCAGGCGGCTGTGGGCACGGGTGATGAGGTAGTTTGAATGGTTGTTGTACAAAAAGTGGGGCAGTCGAGTAAATGAGTAGAGAGGAATCCGGGTGGTCGAACAGCAGGTTGCACAAGTGGTAGGGTGGTGGAGCGGTGGGGTGGACGAGCGGTGGGGTGGCCCAGCGGTGGGGTGGTCGAGCGGTGGGGTGGTAGAGCGGAAGGGTAGTTGAGCAGTTTGCACTTGTACATAATTGGGGTCGATCGGTAGGAGGGTGAGTGTGACATTAGGGGGCGGGGGTGAGGAATGTCAACAGGTTCGTCTTGACGGAAAAGTTGCGGGTGGGGAGGAGGAGGAGGGGGGGTCACGAGCGGTAGTGGTCATGTTCTCGCAAAATCTACAGATTGTACCACGATTCTTTATTCGGCAACTGAGATGCCAAAAAATGTCTCGAGTGAGGATCAGTGAGAAGACGAATTGTTTATTTAAGAGTGTGAGTTTGAGCGGTTGTGGACGTGTGTGGGCGGTGGTTCGCGGGCGTGAGGAATGCGTGAGACAGGTCACTCACCCGCTAGAACAGCGAAGGTGGTGGTGGTGGGCCACTGGTCCCAGCCCCGCGGAGAGGACGCTGTCGGAGGAAGCTGCTGGAGTACTGACGAAGAATTCTACTGGCGGGGAGCCGCGTTGGAGGAGTGTTGGAGGAGGTGTTGGAGGAGTGTTGGGGCACCACGTGGGAGCGGGTGCAGGCTGCGTTGAGGACTGGCCGCCGCGATCTGAGTGATGGGGGCGCGCGACCAGTTTAAACACACGCGGCACAAATCGAATATGAAAATGAGCGGCAGGGTGCTGTGACCGTGGAGGTGGTGGTGTGGTGGAGGTGGTGGCGAGTGTCCGGCACGCGCACGCTGCCTCCCCCTGCGCGGGCAGCGTGACGTCACTATGGCCAGCCTCCCTGAGAGCCAGCCAGCCAGCCAGCCAGCCAGGCAGCCAGCCAAGCGAGGGGCGGCGCTCTGGTTACCCTGCCAGATACTGCCTGGACACCCGCGCCACCACCACCACAACACTACAATACCTCCGCCACCACGAGACCCCTTACGTCAACAATACAATATCCCCCGCTACCACGAGGCTCGCTCTACGATAGCCGGTCCACACACACACACACACACACACTGACACACACATACGCACACTTGCACACACACACATACGCACACATACACACACACACACTACCACGCCGCTGAATTATACTACAATACGTGCACTACATCCACGGGTTGTTAAGAGACTAAGACGTAGTTGTAGGGAGATTCTACGAGGAGACAACTACAGCTCCTCTTCAAGGTGGTTGACTACAATTACAGTACCGGGAACGCTACGACACCCACACCCCAGGCACCGAGGAGGAGGCCCAGTCTTGCTTGTAGTACACGACCCGCAGCAACAGGAGACGACGCTCTTGCAACAGGCAATCACACTTCTTACAATACAACAAGCAATCACACCCACTACAACGGACGGTCACTCTTCCTACCACAGGCAATCACATCTACAGTACAACAGGCCATCACACCACCTACACCAGTTGATCACAAACTTACAGCACACCGTTACTCTACACCTGATAGCACAAGAACTATATAAGATAATTCACCCACAAAAGAGCACAATAACACGACGTAAACCGTACTTATACAACACAACGGGAGAACTCCAGCAAGAGATCACAACTCCAACAAGAGATCACAACTCCAACAAGAGATCACAACTCCAACAAGGGATCACAATTCCAGCAAGAGATCACAACTCCAACAAGAGATCACAACTCCAACAAGAGATCACAACTCCAACAAGGGATCACAACTCCAACAAGAGATCACAACTCCAACAAGCGATCACAATTCCAACAAGAGATCACAACTCCACCAAGAGATCACAACTCCAACAAGGGATCACAACTCCAACAAGAGATCACAACTCCAACAAGAGATCACAACTCCAACAAGGGATCACAACTCCAACAAGAGATCACAACTCCACCAAGAGATCACAACTCCACCAAGAGATCACAACTCCAACAAGAGATCACAACTCCACCAAGAGATCACAACTCCGACAAGAGATCACAACTTCACCCAGAGATCACAACTTCACCAAGAGATCTCAACTCTAATAAGACACCTCAACTCTAATAAGAGATCACAACTCCAACAACAGATTACAACTCACAACAAGAGAACCACTAATAGTTCCTGGTCATCAGAAGGAAACCTCCATCACCTCCAGCCGCAAGAATTGTCATCAGTCCACATGTCATAGATCCTCCAACGAGACAGGAAAACGTCTCCAAAGCTCTTTCATGATAGACTGAGTCTTACATAAAAAACACTTTCCCAGCACAAATATCAACAAGACACCTCCGTACGTCTCACTACGAACTGGTTTACAAAGCTACTCCAATTGTTGCAACACTACTTCACGTGTTACAACGTTACTTCTGCTGCTCCAACACTTCTTTAGCTGATGCAACACTTCTTCAATTGTAGCATTACTACTTCAACAGCTGCAAATCCACTTCATTTACTGGAACACTATGGCAACACTACGATAACTAGAGCAACACTATTTCAACAATGCATGATCTTATACCCGTAATAAGTATTCAACAACACCTGCAACACAAGGAGGCGACGTCGCTTAAGAACACCGCTGATAGGCCTTCAACCTCTTCATTAAAAAATTATAAACCAACAGCACAGATGTCCTTATACCACTACAAGTTTCCTACATCAAGAAGTCTACAACATCCTCGTTAATATTTTCTTCTATATCGCCGATCCGAATACTGCCAGTACCCATAGACCACTGCAAAAAAAAAAACTCCACGAGGATAACACTAAAAACACTAATTTTGCATTATAACACTGAAATTACACCATATAATCCTAGCATTACTCTAAAACACTAGAACGAAACTGGAATACACAAGAATCAGGCCACAAATTATGCACTGACACCACTAACACTGTCGTCACCTTACCATGCATCAACAAGAATGAACACCAACAGAATAATATTACAAATATACATCTACACGTACTATGACCTCGTACCTCGCTTACACCAGCTCAACACTCTTCGTCAATCACCACAGGAAAATTACACCAGAAGCACTACTCCATTCCTCGCCCAGTACGCCAAGAATTCTTATTCAAATCGGTAGTGTATTCGTTCTGCATCGCCGTTGTGCACACTAAGGTGACGCTTCGGCAACACAAGGGGATAAACTCTCCCTCACGAAGCCTCATCGTCAACCCAGCGATAGCCAGACCATCTAGCAGACAGAGAGACACGCATCCGTCCCTCTAAGGTTCAACGCTACGAGAAAACTCCGAGATTCCGTGAGTCTGTTCCACGATACCCACTACATAAGTTCCTCCTCTACCCCATACACAACAACAACAACATTAAGACAAGCATAGACCTCCTCTGAAAAAAACTACAACCATTATTTCAGAACATTACGTTGCCCCAAGTACTACAACACCTCTGTAAAAACAACCCACTTCTTCCTGCATTTCTAACACAACTCAAGGAACGTCATCGTAGTACTCAACACAATACAACCATTATTCCACAAAATACAACACTCCCTCCAGAAAACACAACACTCTTCCAGAAAACACGATACCTCCCTCCAGATAATACAACTCTTAGTCTAAAAATACAATACCAGCTCTAGAAAATACACCAATCCTTAAAGAAAATACATCAATGTCACTAAAAAATACAACGATACTCCAGAAAATACACCATCTTCAAAAAATACAATAGTCCCTCAAGAAAATATACCATTACCTACAAGAAATGCAACAGTCTCAAAAGATATAAAATGTACTTCCAGGAAATACAATACAGCTTTCAGAAAATACAACATTATCTACACGAACAAAATATTCCTCCAAGGAAATTCACTTCCACTATTACAGCAAATACAATATTCCCGCCAAAAAATACAACACCTCTTGCAGAACAAAATTAATTGTATCCAAAAAATACAATACCCCCTCCAGAAAATACAACACTACCATCCAGAAACTAAACCATTCCCTCCAGAAACTAAACCATTCCCTCCAGAAAATACAACACTCCTTCAGAAAATACAACACTACCATCCAGAAAATACAACAACTCCCTTCAGAAAATACAACACTTCCTCCAGAAAATACTACAACACCTTCAAAAAATTTGAAACTAATTCTAGATAATGCAACACCCTGTCATAAAATGCAAAATACAAATAAAAACTACAACATCCTTCCGGGTGGGCTAATCCTAGTAAAAAATAAATACAAAATACAACACATTCAGAAATTCCATTTATAACCAACAACACTCACTGTATTCATTTGACCTTGCCTTCTCAAATCACAAAACTTCCCTAAGACTTACAAAATTCTTTCCAAACCTACAACATTATCTATAAACTACAACACTCGCTCCATAACCTACAACATTCTTTCCATCACTATAAACAACAAACATTCTACTCATAAAGAACACTCCCTCAATAGCCTACAACACTTCCTCCATAACTTACAACACTTCCTTCATAACCAACAAGACTCCATAACCTACAACTGTCTACAAACTACAACACTCCCTCCATACACTACAACACTCCCTCCATACACTACAACACTCCCTCCATACACTACAACACTCCCTCCATACACTACAACACTCCCTCCATACACTACAACACTCCCTCCATACACTACAACACTTCCTCTAAAAATTACAACCCCTCGTCAAGAGAATACAACATTTTACATCACATAACACATCTAGAAAATACCATAATTTTGGTTTCAGAAACAATATTTTTTTTTTAGAATTTCAATAATTTACAAAGAAATTACAAGTTTTTGAAAATGCAATATATTTTTTTGGAGACAATGCAAGGAAAATACTATACTGTTCATAAAAAAGAAATACAAGACTTTTTAGAACACGCAACACTTTTTATTTTATTTTTTTTTAGAATGCAACACTTTTAGAAAATACGCTGATTTTCTTTTTTTTTAAATACAGTACATTTTAGGAATATCGGTACAACAAAACTTTTAGAGAATTTAACACTTTTTTGAAAAGTTGCAACACATCATTTTCGAAACCAAACAAGTCCTTAAAAACGACGAAACAAGCCATTCCAGAAACTATCCTCCCTCTTATAGCTTTTGTAAACAAATTAAGATTAATATTACATAACTAACAAGGGTCCTTAGACACTTCTGTAACATTTCCTAAAAGTGGCATATTCTCTTAAAACTGCAGGACCTCCACAAAACTACAGAATCACCATACCTACAGTATCTTTAAGATGTTATATCATTCAGAGACGTTACACATCTCACACAAACTACAGTTACACCCAGAAATTACAGTATCTCTAAAATCTACAGTACTCCCCAGAAACTACAGCATGGTTAAAATAATACAAAATTCTTTGGACATTATATTAAGAACTACAATATTCCCCGGATATACAGAATACTTATAGAACTACAGTACAGGTACTCGCTAGCGACTACAACGTGCCTCCAAGACTAAATTATACCATAAAAACAATAGTACCACCTGACACTAGAAAATCAATTCAGTTCAAAGGTTAGAACACCGTCATCACACTCTTAGGCAATCACACACACCTCCTCCTTCTCTCACAGCATACAAGACAACCCCTTCAAGCACCCAGCACCACAAAACAACAACAGCAACAAATACAGCACCAGAAAAAAAACAAAAGCAAAAACAAGAACAACACTAAGAACCACAACAACAACAAAATGACAAGGTTAAAAAATATGATAGTAAAAAAAA